GTGCACAATACAGATGTAACTTTGTACAGAGTTCAGTGGTTTGTGTTTTGTTCATTAATGTGAGGCACCAAGATTAGATTCATTTCAGAATCAGGTCTGCATATTCTAATATAAAAAACTTAATTTTAAAGCAGCTTAGATAACGGAGGTGATGACAGCCCCAACCTGGATTTTTTAAAGCCAGCAGCCGACCAGGTTCCTTCTCAGCCTTTACTCCTGAACCAAAACTACCACAAGCTTTCAGCAGAAACTATTTTCCCCAAACATTGTGTGACAAAAAACAACTTTGGTCAATCTGCTGTAAAACAAGTTCATGTTTTGAAAAGTTGCTATGTGTGGCAATTTAACAACAATGTGTCCATGCTTGTTTGCTGCTAACTTTATTTATGTAGGTACTTTTTGACTCAGTTAATGCTTAAAGATCCTGCAGACTAAGTGGAAAATTATAAGCAATTTACTGCAAGGAATCCTATCATTTTTCTTGGAGTAAATTTCTTTTCTCACTGATATCAAAGAGTGTTGATTTGTCGTTTGCCCTTGCCAGGTTATTTTTTTTTAAATGTTTTTATGAGGGCTCAATCACGTGTAAACAAGTCAGAAGTGCTGCATGAGGGATTTATGGTTTGTGGAAAGCTGACTGGTTTCAAAGTTGGCTAAAAATATCTTTACTTTTGCTGGAAACAATCAAATGCATTATTATCAAAACTCGCTTTAAATACAGTATCTACAGTATCTTTGTTTTTGTTTTGGCCTGCTCTTTTCAGCATTGGAAAAAAATGACTGACGACTGTACAGTTACTCGAGTGCCATTCAAATTACAGCTGTTAGCCTCATGTTGCCTGAAATAGCCTAGCAACAGTAACAAACTGTTGCTCGATAATAAGACACATAAAGACAGAAGTATTAGCATGTGCTAGCTAGTAAAAAAAATAACCTCACAAATTCCATTGACTGTCAGCCATGTTAACCAAAGGCCTAAAAACCTCATGTCTGTCCATTGTGGAGTTTAACAGTTATTTGTAAAACATTCGACTTTAGCATTTGCAAGCAAGCAGAATATTTACCTCACAAACTAACTGTGTAGCAATGACAGTTTAAACTGGATATTACAGCATTTTTGTGTAGTAAAAAGATTAGGGATGTGTTCTTGCTGAGAGTGTACATCATATGGTTAAACATGCTAAGCAGCACAATGACACAATAATAACCAGCAACACCGTGGTTTCTGTGTGCCATTTGATCCAATACTTGAAATATTCAGAGAGCCTTCGAGGTTTGCAGGCTTGCTTTGACTGCCCACCATCACACTGAGAGCGTTCCCAGCCCTGATTCCAATCATGCTATCTTAAAAATAAATACACAAGTGTTTGAAACTGAGCAACAAGTTCAACCAAACATTTGTGCAACACATAACCCCACAATGAAAGATCGGAATAATTGTTTTATCTGGCTGTAGTAAGTCCACATTCCAGTAGAACAAGAGATCTGAGCCGTTCTCTGAGATGGAAATAATGGCTTTAGCAGAAAGTTAACTCATCCCACTTTGTCTTGAGTTACATTCTTTTGTCTCAGTTCCAGATTCCCCAGGTTAGGACCAAGATGTCTTGACAAAACTGATAAATCTATGATTTTACTTACGTTTTTTTGATTTTTCTGATACTTTCAGAAAGAGAATCTGGCCACAATAACACTAAAGCAGCCTTGACTGACAACATTTCAAAAGTTTAAAGCTTATGTGGAATTTAATGTTACATTTTTCATCTCAGCAGTTTTCTAGGCTACACATTGTTCCTGTATTCTTACAAATCATATAATTAACCCATTCCTCCAGTTGTATATTCATTTTTTCTTTAAAAAACATATCCATACATAGGCAGATTTTTAGAGAACATGTCCTAAAACTTTTCATGTACTTCTCTGCCATTGATACACATTTTAATTATTCTCAATTAGCTGAATGGGAATGTGAAATCTTTTCAGTGAGTGGCAGAAGTCAGGGGAGCGGATAATCTTCATGTTCTGATCTGTTGAGTATTAATTTACAGCTAGTAAATGATCTGTAGAACTTGCTCGGTTGAGTCAACTAAATTTAAAAGCTCCTGTATCCACATAAAAAATACAAATAAAAAATCCCCAGCAGCTTTGTCTCGTTTCCTTTTCTTATGTCTCAATTTTAGAAATCAGGCAAAACAGATTTTTTTAGTGACACTGTGCCAGGTAGGTGAGCAAAATGTTTCAAAGTTTTCTTTAGCAATAGATTCCGCTAAGTCACATAAGATTCCATCGAAAATCATTAGACATGCCTTGTAAGTGAACATTTTAAAACAACAAAGCATGAATTGTTGTCTAGTTTTACTGAACATAAAGTCTCTCAAATCTATAAAACTGATGGTAGTTACCACTGGGATACTTTTTTAGTTGCTTTCTGTATTATTTTCCAGTGTTGATTCCATGAAACTATCATTAAATGCTGCATTTATGTTCCAAATAATAATAAAATGTAAGTATTGTATACTTTTTAGAAATGTGATTGAGCAACTGTGACTTTGTGAAGTAATTTAATTGATATTTGAAAGTCCAAAAATGGCAATAAATACATATCCAACATATCTTTGTGAGATATTAAGTCCATATCGTCCATTATTAGAAGATGACTTTCTGAAGAACTGTTCCTCATTATAAAGGTTAAGCAAATAGAAGAATGGCTCAGTTCCTCTTTTGCATGTTGGATGCATTATATTTTGAAAAAAAAATTTTTTATAGTATTTGCACTTCAACTCACTTTAAATTAAATTAGTCTGGTAAACTACTACTGTTTCACGATCATTCTGAAAAGCATTTTTCTCTTTGTGTCTGAAACTACTGTTTTCACTCAAAACAGCCCTCTGCTATTTTTTTTTCTTTTTTTTTTTGCTTTTGTTAATTAGTCATGTGTCATCAAAGATAACTGCTTTTTCCAACATCACCTTGAAAATATTTAGTTTTTTTCTGTGTTGACTATCAGTCTGCATCAGGTGGACTCGTTGGTCAGGTGGACAACTGACTTGCAGCAAGAAGCTCCCAGATTGAATTCCCAGTCTGGGCTTTTCCTACATCATCCTTTGCTTTTTTGCATGTTCTCCATGTGTATGCCAGGTTTATCTCCAAGTATTCTGCCTGCCTCCCACAATTCAAAATCTTTTAAGATTGTTAGGTTAATTGTTCTCCATAAAATTGAGTGCATAAACGGTTCTGTATCTTCGCGTTGCCCTGTGATTGTCTGGCAACCCACCTCTCACCCAATGACTGCCACACACCCAGCCCTCCGTAGCCCTGCAAGGACAAGTGAGTATAGACAATGGATGACTTGTGATTGATTACTCATCCCCCTGCTTCCTTCCTCTGTTGCATAATGAACGGCAAAGAAAATATCACCCAAGACGTTATGACAGACTTTAATGGCCGTAAGTCAAGAACAACAAACAAAAGAAACTTTAAAGCTTCAGAAGCCCATTAAATACTCCACTAAAATGTAATTTGGGAATAATATAAAACACACACAGCTTAACCATATTTAAATTCTGACCTTTTAAACATGACTTAAGACAAGTCCATTTATACATAAAGTTACAACACATGTCTTTTACAGAACTGGATTAGTTTAATACAACAGACTCCAGCTTTAATTTATAACACTTGGTGGCCCTTTGGTGTGGAATCGGACTTGGTCGTTACTCTACAACATCTCACAGCTTCATATGGGTGTTTGCCTGGACAGCATTTCTTAAAAATCTGACCCTTTTTCCACCTCATCAAAGTATCTGTAGGTTTATGTTTCTAACAGGATAATATTGCATTCCTACTGTAAAGTACAGAGAAAAAACACATGTTGAGTTAAGCAGGAAGAGGCCACAGTGAGGCCATGTGCATCACTTAAATGCTTATGGATTTAAACACACTCAGTCAGGGGAATGTAATGAAAAATAGCAGTGCAGGAATTTTAATTGACCTCTGTGAAGCATTTTTAGTTTTAGTGGTTCCATCATAGGATGGGGGGAAAAGGAGACTTCCTAACTGGAAACAGATTTCAGGAGCAGCTTTAACAAGTCAGCACACACACACACAGACACACACACACACACACACACACACACACACACACACACACACACACACCCCCACACACACACACACACACACACACACACACACTTACAGAGACAGAGACAGAGAGACAGCCAACGCCCCGAACTTGTTAAAGTCTTTAGTTTCCTCTCCGGATATCAAAATGCTGCTTTAGCAATGAAGCGTGCATGAGGTCATAACTAACTAAATAGGGAGACCGTTTGTCTCGCATTATCTGTTACTCTATTGGATGCTTGTAAACAAACAAGATAACACTTATTAACCTATTAAACTAATTATTACATGTCCTCAAACATCTTTAGTCTCTTGTAAAAGCGCAGCCTGCAGTAACTGGTCTGTTCTGTTAAACCTGTTTTAGTTGGGAAAGATGCACAACTCCAGTGGCTAAAAGTAAGCGGCACTTTGCAGAGATCTTACCCGGGCTCAGAGTGACGTCTGCGGCGTTGAACGAGCTGCTGTCCGGTTCCGGAGGCTGCGCAGCTCCGCTTCCCCAACACTGTCCCTCGTTTTAAAGGGAGAGTCGGACCCAGACAGCAAAGCCAGTCTCTGACCGAGGCGGACAGAGCCACCTTCAAAATAAAAGACAGTGCGCTCCAATTGCACAGGTGATTTTCAAAATAAAAGCACGGTCAACAAAACTGAAACTGCCCTCTCATCTATAAGCATTTGATCTATATTCCAAAGCAGGCTTATTGTATTATCTAAAAGTTAAGCACCATAAAATCTGACCCCCTGCCAGCAATTTATAAGTGTGTTTCCTCACACATTGGATTGTATTGGTTCATCACTTCAAATCCCAATCAGATACACTGAAGTTTGCAATTGTAACACGACAAAAATACAAGTCCAAAGTATGAACAGTACAGAACAGTCTGTCAGCTTCAAATGTGATTTTATTTGTCTCCACACCTGTAGGATGTTAAACTGGTGATACAATTACTTCAGGATTACAGTTTGCTTCTTGAAAAGTAAATAAAACCTGTGTACTCAAAAATACAGTTTCCACAATCAGCAGAAACATAAATTATTTTCACAAATTCAGTTTTATATCTTCCAGTTTTTTTTTATACTCCCAAGTAGATAAATGTGAGAGAACATATGGAGAAATGCAGAAACTCAACGCACATTAAAATACCGCCAAATGAAAGCAGAAACACATGCGCAGAATTACAGATGACACACTTTTTATGACATCACAGTCAACTTTCACTTCAATAGAAATAAGAAAAAAATTCTTACAGAGTTATAGTTCAACAAAAACTTTTGACTGATTTCAAAGAATAAACTATAGAATAAACTAAAGTAAAAAAAACCTTCCCTTTTGTTCCTTTTTCATCCATTATCAGTGAAAGTTTAGTGACTTTTTTCATGTCACTTCATTTGGAAGCTTTCTCAAAAAATATGCATACACTGTAAGAGTCAGGTTATTGTCTGCAAATGTAAGTATTCAATCTTTCAGATTCACAGACAAAAGATTTAACAGTAAAAGCACAGACAGATGGGAAAACTCTAGTTAAATTATACAGGGAATACTGTAGTATCTGGCATCAATCAGAAGATGTGATATTCATATAGGATAATCTTACTGCACATGAGCAAAACAAAATATGTACAAAAACAGTTCCTGAATAGGCACTTAAGTTCAAAACAGTTCAGCCAGCCTCTTTTCATCAATGGTGACAACAAATCACAAAGACCTGCTCAGTACTTTTTTTTTTGTTGTTCTTTTTGTGCATTTTTAAGAAACTTCAACCAGATGGAAGCATAAACCCAGAAACAAGCATTAGCCCTAATAATAATTATAAAAAATCTGATGACACATATTAAAACAAACAAACAAACACTCAGGGAAGATCTGGCTGGAAAGTAAAAAGTAAAAGCATATGCTACAGTATGGTAAGCATACAAACGCCTGGAATAAGAAAATATTTCCATCCTCTTTCAAGAAGACTTCAATGCAAAAGATACCATGTGGGAAAAATGTAGTGCGCTTTTATTTATTTTTAAGAAAACAAGGAGTTCACTACTTGGCAGTAATGATTGAAAATCTGCACAATAAATAATAAGTAGAAAAAATGATTATAGAGATCAAGAATGTTTCTGTTAAATAAATAAATCAGTAGTTAAAAAGATTCAAGATTCAAACAAGTGGGCAGTGCTATAACTTGTCTCTAAGTGCATTACTTGGTGTTGCTCCTTTGACCTTCACTCAGATGTTCACATAAACTCGTCATGAGCATCATTCATTTTGGGCTTTCACAGATGCAGGTGAATTCAACAAGTTTGAAAAACAAAAGTCTAACACTCAGCACCATACTGCCAACTCCTTGCTTGTAATATGGTACAGTGATTTAAACTTAAGCAGATCAATATTTGTCTTGTCCGAATATCAAACTTTTCTCAGGTAAATGATCCAAAGCAGACATCAGAACAGGTTTGGAAATGGATAAAGTTGACCAACATTAAGCTTCTGACAACGTATTCCTCTGCATCTCAAGGACTGTGCTTCATTGTTCAATACATTCTCAAAAACAAACCAATTCAAATGATTTTTTCCACTTCTAATAAAAAGAGGGATCAAATATCCAGTCAGATATGTCAAACTGATATCTAAAATTAAATAGCAAGTAGTTTTTCTGCAGCTTACTAAAATGCATTATTACGCAAAATATTAGTGAGAGTGTATGTCTATGTTCAGGCCTCGTGTTGATCCAAGATAATCAACAAGGGGAGTGTAAGTTAATTGTTGCATAATCATTCCGCCCTGGAAAAAAAATGTTCAAATACATCTTAAGATCCAAATAAAATACAATAATGCAGATGATGAGTGAATGTAAACTTCCTGGTTGAACTGTACGTACCAAATAGTCTCATTAAACAATATTTCTATTCTTATCTGCTGAGAATCCCAACCTTCATTTGACGAAGTTACAACAAACTGACAGAAGAAGTTAAGAGGAAAAATGATTTGTTTCCCAAATGTAGAGTGAATAATCTTCTGAGTGGTTGTGAACTTTAAAATAAATAATTAGTTAGATAGAGACAAAATCATTAGAGGGAACATAACCCCAGAAATCCCAACATTTACACCAGTTTTAGTGGTTGAACAACACACGCAGAGAAAGTTGGAGCTTTAAGAGACCACAGTAGTAAAACTGAATCAGCTCAGACGACAGCCACACATTGAAGCCTCCTGTAGAGGGCAGACTGAGGATTTTAGTCTACATGTAGTGCAATAATAATCAAGATCACAATATTCTACCATCATGTTGAACTGAATCAAGCACGGCTCATATCGGAAATGGTGAAACTGATTTCCAACTGCTTCTTAGACACAATGCTGGTCCAGTCAACACTGAAATATTAGATCAAAGACTGATTCATCTTACATGTGAACTATGTTTTGATTTGTTTTTTTCTTTTGCAACATAAACATCAAATCCCATCTTACAGTCTGTGCCTGTGAGGTTCGGAGAGTGGGGGCGAGGGCGGAGGCGGGAGGGTGACGGTTGTTGGGGGCTCCGCAGGGTCGTCCATCGGCAGGACAAGCCGCGTGCCGCGTATCACCACGTCTCGCTCCACCGGGTCCCGCTCACCATCCCGGCTATCGTTGAACGACCCGGCGCTGGAGTGCTTGGGGTTGATGGTGCGGGACCCGGATGCGTCGGTGCTGACGGTGACGTCGGCGTACATGGAGCTGACGTTGGCGTCGTTCAGGATGAAGTCGGAGTCATCGTCGCGAAGCGGCCCTTCGTTCTGAAGGCAGGAAAAGTGAAATGTGCTGACTATCATAAACCTAAGGATATTAATGTTTTTCTTGCTGGATATTTTTTTGAGGCTATTAAATTCAGGACTCTGTAAACCTGTAGAACCCTAAGAAATAAATAATAACAGTAAATGAAAATACATAAATTTAATAATTAAAACCAATGTTATTTTTGCAGGAGAGATGCTTGTTGCTTTTCTGTTGTAAATAAATAATTTATACATTTTTCTTACACCGTGCTATGTTCACTTGTTTATCTGACCTCTCATCTTTTAGCATCATCGTAAATCTGTTTTGGTTTGAATGTGCTGTTACACTGCCACTAATTAAACTTCATTTGCAAACCTCATAGGCCTGTGGACTGGTGAGGCATCGTGCCAGGGGGCCACAGCAAGCTGGCAGAGTAGTAGTGAGCGGGGGCCCGCTGTGAGTCAGGAGGGGCTTCAGGTAGCTGAAGGAAGAGCTTCGGTCAAGGACTTAATTCATCAAACTCGTGAACCTCCAATGGAAACGGCGTCCTGTGTCTTTAGCATTTATAGTTTCACTAATATTTCCCAATACAATGATTTTAGCAAAGCTATTATACAGAGTTAATGCCACTATTATGCTTAACAGGACAAATGTTGATTTTTGAAAAGTAAAATCATGGCCTCTTCAAGTGAATTAAATTTGCTTTCAATGGTTTCAGTGTAAGAAGAAACTTATATTACCCTATTGATTAAATAAGCAAAACATTTGTCACTAGGAAACTACATTTGTAAAATGAAAGACTTTCACACATAAAAAAACACATTAATCTGAAAAAAACCTTGTAAATCTTCAATATTGAACACTTGTAAAGAGCGCCTCCTAGTGTTGTAGAAGAAGTCAGCATGACTTCAGAAAGAGATTGGCAGGTTAAAGGATACTTGTGGTCGAAGTTATACCAGATCCTGAAGGGCCAGGCGCTCTCATGTTTGGTGCTTCTCCTCTGCGACCCATCCAACACAGCTGAACTCTGGAGAGCACAAAACTGCACTTTAGTTAATACTTATTTCATACGTTCTACAACAGCATGTCCTCAAACTTTTTAGCCTGAGTTCCCCACTTTAGATAAAGCATATTCTCTGGCTTCCTGTCACAATATTAGAAAAAATAGGTGAAGTTTAAGTCTCTTAAAATACATGAACAGCAGAAGGTAGTTCTGTAAAGTACTGACATTTCTTGAATTGTTATTCATAAGAAAAATCTAAATCATGAATCATTTTACTTCATAATTTTTGAGCTACTCCAACATAAAATTCTTACAGAATACACTGATACTTTTTTGTGCATCATGAGCAAATGTGAGTGAGTTCAAGGGGTATTTAGACTTTTGCACAGCACTTTATAAAAAAACTCAACTATATTCTGCAAAAGAACAACGTTCAGTGAAGTTCTTGAGTAGAAATATCCACTTCCTTCATTAGTGACCTTCTGATGTTGCTTAACTGAGACTTTCTTCAGCAAACCCACCCTGCTTTTCTGTCACTTCCTGCCCTCCTCTATTAATAGTTGCATAACATTTCTATGCTGGTAATTGTCCCTGTGACAGTTCCTCCCCTATTTAAGGCAACACACTTCACATCAGGAAACACTTCTCTCTGTTGATGTGATAAACCTCTCCTGTACTGGTAATCAGATGGGATGCATCAGTATGCGCTGTGTTCGACAAGCTTGCTTTGAATCGCAATGTCCAGTCGCAGTGGAATAATTTATTTATTGATAATGCAACATTAGTTCTACTGACAAAAAACGTTAAAAACTAAATAAATACCAATAATCATTATTTGTGCCTTCACTCATACTGGTTCCTCCGTAGGTGGCGCAACCCACACTTTGAAAACCACTTTATTAGACATTGTAGTAATTACTTACGGAGTGTTCTTGATCAGAATCCACTCCCACTCTGAAATGAATCGGAATAGGAAAACAGATGCAATAAACAATGTAGAAATAGAAGCAGAAACAGATGCAAGTAGATAGCCAGTCTCACGGTATGCTCATGAAAGACAGCATGGGCGTAGTGCCCCCTCCACAGATCCACACAGTGAAGAACACAATCAGCAGGGTGGTTGAAAACATCATCTGACGGGCGTAAGTGGCTGTGTCCCGGATAGACAGAGCGAAAGTCATCGCCCCACGCAGACCTGGAGGAGATGAAACAGCGAGACTGAGAGTCTGTGTTTATGAAACTGGGTTACTCATGTTGTGGGAACAGAGTCACACTTTAGGAAGCCTGCATTGAAGACAAGGACAAAAGAAGCCCCTATAAACACTAGATCTACTATCATCTCGGCACTGACAGCATAAGTCTGATGTAACGTGCTCTAAAAAGTTGTCTAAAAAACACTGCTTATCTATAAAAAGATCATCCCTGCACCTTATACATTTTTTTTTAGTATTTTAGTTTTGCTCCATTTGAGGGTTCACATTTACCACTCACCTGCAAACATCATAACATGTTGAAAGTTCATTCCGATCTTGTTTCTGCGGCCTAGATTGAGCAGGAAGGATAAGGGGTAGATGTTTGCAGCCCTGCCCAGAAATACGGCCAACTGCATGCAATGCAGTCAAGGACACAACTCCATGGGCAAAAAAACATCACAGCAGGTGGAAAACAGGAAAACAGCAGAACGGAAAGTATTTTGTGGGTTGAGGCACATTTTAAAAACCCCATTTAAAGGTCTAACTAATGTGCCCTTTTATGTGTGTTCTCGATTTCCATTTTGGTTTCCGTTAGCAGGAAATTAAATTTTAAACTGAAGTGTTTTACTGATAGCTTCTGGATATGCAAATATTTGGTGATGGTTGCCGCAGTCAAGTCTGTCAATTCAGGGCTTCTGGGGAAGAGTTATTGCGTGTGTGCTGATCCAATGCATTGCAGAGTGAAGGATACGAAGGCTCCGATGATGAACAGAGGGTTAAAAACATGCGACTGAAAGGAGAAGAGCGTCAAACCCATGTAGGAAAAGATGAAGTTTTCTGCCAGGAAGTTCAACAGCTCAAACAACTGAAAAAAATATGGAAAATTGATTAAAACCTAAGAGTAATATCAGTGTCAATAAGCAAAGCTAAACAAATTATGCTTTATAAGCACAAACTGCTCACTTTTTTCTTTCAATCTTTTAGTTCAGAGTGACTTTTGTTGCTATTTTAAGAAGTTCATCCTATTCAATTCAATTTCAATTCAAAAGTACTTCAGCATCTGCTGAAGTACTGTGGGATCAATAAAGAAATTTCAAAAATAGTTTCTTATTCCAGTTGATAAGTTTGAACATCTAATAAATCCTGGAAGTATTTTTACTCTGGACTCAAAAGGCTGTTTCAGTATTGTGAATACAGTTTGCACTCAGGACTTGTGCTTTTTAATAATCTAAAAACTATATGGCACTTTTGAAGATTATGTACCGTAGTTCTTCAGACATTACTAAGCTCAGAAGAATTCTAACTATGTAATTAATGCTAAGACATTTAAAATTATTATCTCAATTAATGTATTCTGGTGTTCCTCAAGGTTCAGTTCGTTTTAGTTATTTATTAGTTAGATATCTAAATGCTTAGCCATATTTGTGTCCTGCTGCAGATTTCCAGATGTATGCTAATGATGCAGTATTTTATGCACATATAAAGTGAACTGCACTAGTTTCAATAAAACTGTCCAAATATTTCTATCTCTAAACGTTAGGCGTCACAGTCACATCCTGTGAACAACTCACCCTTGTGAAAATTGTTATTCATGGTGGAGTTATTTTCAGTATTAGTTAGGTGTTGCGGTGTCAGTGATAGTGGTATATCTGTGGTTTAATGGATATGATGTATTTTTGAGAATTTGTTCAGCAGAATCAATGAGGTAAAGGGAATTTGTTGAAGATGCACCTAAAAAAAGTAAGTTCTGACAAATGAAATCGCCATGTAGGCTTCTGAGAATTATCTGCAGTAAATAACATCGACATCCTTTCTTCTCAGAATTTGTTCATGAAGAACCTCGGTGCAATTCTTTCCCCTTCCTTATCTCTTCACTTTCTGTGGCTGCAGCATTTTATAAAGAATTTCTCTACACAATGTATGACATAGTATGACAAGAAATAATGCTTACACAATTGGTTGAGAAACAAAAGTGCTTCAGAATCGACAGAAACTGTTTTATGGATCCAACTTTTTACCTGTTTAGTCCTGTCTTGAGAATCACGAGAGAGATTGTTGTAGGTGTAATGAGCCTGCGTGATCCCACAGAACAGCACCGCCACAACACCTTAAAAACAAATAGAATTTCATCTTCTAAGAAGAGAAAAACGCAGAGGATTCAGAGCACATACACTAAAACACACACGCAGGCACACAATCCTAAGGGCGATTTAGAGTGCCCAATAAACTAAACAATCGTGTTTTTTGGAGCAGTTAAAACTCCATCCAGGTGGTCAATTATATTATCAACAAGCAAATAATACCATATTAAACACTGCATCCAAGTAACTCTTTAAAACAGCAATATTCTAATAATGTAATATAATGTAATTTCATGTATGTGCAGCTCTATAGCAGCCGCTAAGATCCTCTAGCTACAACTCACCCTTGTGAAAATTGTTATTCATGGTGGAGTTATTTTCAGTATTAGTTAGGTGTTGCGGTGTCAGTGATAGTGGTATATCTGTGGTTTAAGTTGCTACAATGAAAGATGTAGTGAGACGTCAACGGATATCAGGAAAACTCAACACATTAAGGCAAATACTTCAAAAAAAAAGTCAGAAAGGTCTGCAAAGATTATTTAATTGGGGTATACTAAAATGTTATGCCTGCTGCATGGTTGTAGATGTACCTGTCATCCCGCAGGCCTCTGCCAACAGAAAGGTGCTCCAGGACATCAGGAAAAATAAACCAGTCTCCAGTAAAGGGAAGTCCCTCAGCTTAGTAAACTTTGTCACGTAAGAACAACTTCAAGTTAAGGAACAAAGCAGCAAGTTTTGGACAATGAAAAACAAACAAATATAAAAAAAATAAAGTAATCTTAGCTCATTATAGAGAGAAAAAAAAGATAGAGATATTGTAAAATAGACGTTTTCTCCAAGTTGGTTGGGGCATACAAAGACATCATTAATTGAAACATCCTATTTGCACAATCAGTGTAGATGATTCTGAGGTAAAAAGTTTCTTTTTGTGTATGGTGAACAATATAATACAAACTATGTATGTTATGATTGAGATGGTGGGAAAGCTGGTCTTTTTTGGGATGAAAGCATAATAATGGTTGTTATGGAGACTTTGTGTTGCTATTTATAGGTGTTTTGACTGGAGATATGAAAAAGTTTAGGTGAAGCTGAAAAAAATGTCAACAGTTACATTTATTTTATAGGAACTCTAAGGGCTGCTAATAACTATGAAACCCAGTTTAAAAGTTTAATATTTGTCTTTTAGACTGAGATAGGATGGAAGATCATTTCATTTGAGACTTTTTACGTGTTTTCCAAGGGGGTAAATTAGCATGGAGGGAAGTGTATGTATCACAATAAGAAAGATCTTATCTTATATATATAATTATATAAATACATTTAATTATAGAAAAGGATATAAGAGCAGTCATGACTCCAGTAGCCACACCAAGAGAAAAAGATCCACTGAAGACACCCAGGAAGATGCCGAAGGATTTCAGCACAGCCATGGCTTCGAAGCTGTGGCTGTTGTCCCCCGCAGGCTGGTAGGCCACAACGGAGCTAAAGGACAGTAGGAGTGCACAGAAGCATTTACAAGGAAACTTGAGGTCAAGTCCTTCTGAGAAACCAGGAAGAGAATGTGGTCAAACACATGCTTGGCTTTCCTTTGAATCAGAAATGAGACATATCTGCAGCAACTAAAACAGAGCTGGGTTTTATAAAGAAAAAACGTATGTGAGGTTAGCATGCTGAAGAGTAATTAGAAGCATCAGCTCTGCTTGATTATCATTCAATAATAGTTAGTAAAATTATAACAAAGTCATATTTTCTGATTACAAGCATGGTAATATGAAGCAAATGCAGAAAAACACAACAAAAAGGAGAATATGAGGCTGCAACTGCAAAATGATACTGAGGAAGGGGAGTAATTATCCTAAAGGTGATTTAAATCTACTTTTAATCTTAACAACTGCAACACAGCAACCAAAAACTTCTAATGTTTTCCCACAAAATGCATACTGTCCTCCCAAACTAAACCCACCCACCGAGGAATAAATGTCTGGTTTTCTCCCAGCCATTCTTCAATCTCCTCAGGCATAACTGAGCTGTCCTCTCCAGCGGAGTGAACAGCTCCCTGCCTGCTCTGCTTTTCAAAGCGCAGGAGAACGCTACGTTCATACGTACGGACAGGCGGTCAGTCACACAGATGAGTGGAGAAAGGCAAGCAGTGGAATGACAGGGATGTTGATGTTAGTGTGGTTCATTTCCACATGGAAAGTCACAGTTAGCTTGTAATAGTACTGAATGGGCATGGAGAACAATCCTTTTCTAACGCAATTTTCACACAGATTATCAGGGCTGCAGCGTCCTGCAGAGCGTGGAGTACTCACGACGAGAGGACGATCGCCACAGCATCGTTGAGAACGCTCTCCCCAAACAGCAGAGCGTACAGATCCACGTCTACCTTCAGCTCGTTGAAGATTGCCAGAACGGTCACTGATGCAAACAGAAACAAATTTACAACTGAAGAAATACACTGAAGGTCTTCAGATACAGTCTCCAGTGAAGCTAATGCTGACATGTTAGCTATGCATGCAAGAATTGGAACCATGTTGCATGCATTTTTCATCACGGGAATGAAAGTCCTGCTTTATTTTAATGCTGCATATGAGTAACTGAGGATCTGATGGTACTTCCTACCTGGGTCTGTTGCCGAGACGATGGCCCCAAAAAAGAGGCAGTCAGTAAAGAAAAAATCCCCCCCAAGCTGACCCACAACTTTCATAAAGGACACAAAGCCATACATGATGAGCCTGCAGAAGAAGTACAAAACCTTATAAACACATTATAAAAACTGGAAATATCAACAAATTAACTTTAACTTATTTAACTCAGTGAAACAGGTTTTTTAGTTTAATGTTATATCAAAGAATATCAGCTGACTTACCCAATAACAAAGCAGGATATTACAGTTCCCATGAAAGCATAGGCCAGGATGGAGCCAATGTTTCTGAAAAAATGTCTCTGAGGAAAGACAAAATTAATATTAATTTGTCAGACAGAGGCTGCAGAAAAATACAATAAGAGTCAAACAACAGTCAACAAAACTAACTTATAAGTTATGCCAGTTTTGGTCCTCCATAGAAATTAATCAGATTTCCAGCAAACTATCCAAGAAGCTTTTTGATACCCAAACGACTTGGCAAAAGTCTTAAAATTTAAAAAGCAAATGTATCAAATACTCATATTTAAACATCTTCATTTGAACAAAGAAACAAAAATCTTTTATTTTTTCCGTATTTAACCATAACTGATCTAAAACAAAAAAGGTTTAATTGTATTTAACATAAGGCAATAAGAGAAAAAAAAATGTGTCTGTTAATACAGACAAATGCCACATTACCCTTTTCAGACTGTAACCTGCATGGAAGATTATGGGAGGCAGTAAAATGTTGAAAAACACCTCTGGGTCAAAGGTCACCTAAAAAGAAAAAGAGCAAAACGTTAAAACATTTTACACCAATTAGTCAATTCAACTTGTTTTTGCAATGTGTAGCATTTTACGAGGACTGTTAAGTTAATCTATTGAAAATCTAAAAATACGTATTAATAACATATTTATGATATTATTGTTTGTTCACAATAGTTAAAAGGAATCCTAAATGAACAAAACCTGGTTAATTGTTATTCTTTTGATATACTTTCACCAGCTACAGTGTAAAGTGTCACATCACTGCCATAGTAGTTTTATGGATGAGAAGCTAAAATGTGGAGGAAATAATGCTTCTTGCCTTTCGCAGCATCTCATCATCCTGCACTTGGTGGTCTTTTCCCCGGCTCACTTCCCCCTTAAGCGTGTATTCGTAGAACCTTCCGCTGACGTTGACCAGCAGAGTGGCAGGGCTGGCGTTGACGGCACATTCCAGAACCACGTCGTTCGTGCTTTGGGGCACATGAATGCCAAAGCGCAGGATCACTCCCACCAAGAGACCTTTAAGTAAATATGAAGGGGGATCAAGATATACATCTAGATTTACCCAAAGGAAGCAAGGAGCTTTTATTCCTCTTTTTTTTTTTTCTCAAAATGATTTAACTGCACATAAAAAACAAAAAAGAAGTTTGCTTAATTTTTAAGCAGAAAATTGCATCAGAATTCTGTTTGGTAATGATGGAAAAGTGGATTAATTAAATAATTATTATTATTAATGCCTTTGGTTTATGCCAAACATATAATTTGTTTTGGTGTCTCATTTGTTAAAACAATTATATTATTGTAATAATAATAATAATATATTAGATATTTTAAGGGGAAATAAATGTGTGAGCATCCATTTTATGCCTCAAACTGGCATTTTTTAAAATGTTTTATATATTTTTTTAAATCGTAACTTCCTCACTGTTTCTGGTTTATTTTAAATACTGAAATATTTATATGTCCAAACCAAATTATAGGGGACATATTTTTTTCATATGACTGTATCTCAAACTTCACTCTAAAAGAAAACTTGGTCACTTTCATTCTTACCAACTGAATTCGTTTGATCTGTCAATAATTACATTTTAACTGGAACCAATACAAAAACCATAAAGTGAGTGACCTGCATTTATGTTTATTCCTGGAATGTGGATCATTTAGATTCCCAGAATTCAACAGAAAGACAGTCCAGTGAAATGTTTTGATGTATGTAAACATGAGGAAATAACATTATTCCCTAGTTATAAGCAGGCTCACGCTGCCATGTTCCCTGACACGTGAAGAAAAAGCGTTTAATTGGCTTAGAGGTCAAGTTTAAGCAGCTGACTGTTTCCGTCACAGGCAGCCAGTCATGAGGTGTCTTTTATTTTGACTCGATTCATTAGCTGACTGTTACCTAACGTCAATGTTCTTACCGTAGATCATAGCAAGCCCAGTTTCATGCAGGAACCTGAAGCGGCGGTGCTTGAAGAGCCATATGGTGAGGATGGTGAGCGTCAGTAGCATTATGAATATGAGCAAATAGGCACTATCTTGTCGGTGGCTCTCCTCGGCCATCCTCTCGGTAACGACATTATCCAGAGCGGCGTTCTCGTCGCCTTGGCCACCGACGAGTAGGACCGGCAGGAGGAAAGGCAGCAGAAGGGACACTTTGGGCGGTTTGGAGCCCATGAAGCGCCTCGGTGTGAATCCCATTTTGGCCCTGTGTTGCGGAAATTACATTTGTTGTTTGAATTAGCGCCGCATTAGCAGAAGAAATAGCCTCTGTTGGTGGAACGCAACTGACAGCTCCTTCCGCAGCCTTGACCAAAACACGGAAACTTCCGGTTTTTCAAAATAAAAGTCCCATCATAACTGGTTTAGCTTGTGAAACCAACAGCGACCCATCATGGTCCTGAACGAAACAATACATATTTTCTCCTAACAATTCTAGTTAGTTATTTATGTTATTTAGTTAGTTATTTATGCTGGAGATATTAAAACTGTTATTTGTGTTATTCTTGTGATCAATGGAGGTCTACTCCAGCACCCCTCTGAAACCCACTGGGATAAGAGTGTAAGATGGGTGAATGGATGGTGTTATTCTTGTAAATATTTTATTTATTTTTTTTTCCTTGCACAGGTAGCAACAGTGTTTAAAATCCCACAATTATTCAAAACTATATAAACAAGCAGCTGTTTACAGTAAAAAATATATGAAAATAGCAATTCAATTCAGTTTATTTATAAAGCACATTTAAAAACAACAAATGGTTTACCAAAGTGCTGTACATCAAGAGAATAAGTATAAAATAAACACATAAAAAATATATTTCACAACACATTAACTCACACAAATGAACAAGTAACTTATAATATACATACAAAAAAGAGCAGCTAAACAACAAGTATGATGGATAGGGTGGAGCAAGTCAATTAACACATTTAAAAACAAACAAAAGAATGCTAAAATCAGTTCTGTGGCAAAAAGGGCGCCAGTGAAGAGCAGCCAGAATAAGAGTGACATGTTCTCACTGGAGTGATCTTTTAGGATGGAGTTTATAGTGTTGACTGGTGATAATGAGATTAAATAATTTCTGACAAATATTTCTATTTTTCCTTTTCAGTTTTTACAAATAACACTTGTCCGTCCTTCTTGATGGGCCTGCTCTCCTGCAGGCCCATCAAGTGACATCTCTCAGCTGGAGTTGACATGTCAGTTTGGAACAAGACAGAAATTGATGTCAGCTCTGCAGTATCATCTATATTTTTTGTTTTATTCTTATAAAAAATGTGTTTTGTATTTGGTCATAATTTAGAAGGTTTTGTAGGAGAGACATAAACCTATCATAAAGGCAAAAAAGGCTCTGTGTGGTCTCTGTGAAATAGGAAAGGGTGTAAGATTAGCTTATACAGATATGTGCTTCAGAAGTTCGCTTGTCTTTGTGATTCTGTAGAACTGAACAAGTGAATTACAAGCATAGGCATGTGACAGTTCTGTTTAACAGCACCAAAAAATGCTGTCTACTTTTGAATACACTATAGGCTAGTATATTCAAAAGAATGTATATGCAGTTTTATACATTCTATAAAACTGCATATAATCAATTTTGGGTGGTATGAATTTATAGAGCATCTAAAATGTTAAAGTAGTTGTTTTTCTCCTAACTTTTCTAGCCTAAACCTCAATCAAACTAGTAATAAAATGTTTGTTTTTAATAAGATGTTATGCATACCTGACCATTATATTTTCTCATCAACCTGACTATGTGCACAAATACATGCATAAGAAACCATATCACATATAAAGTCCCACTTCACCTGTACGAGTGGAGCATCTAATACATTATTTTTTGAAAAGTTATTTCCTGCACCAGGAAGCCAAAACCACAGTCAAGGCACAGAGGAAATAAAGACATCAGATAATGTATAATCGTTTTGTCATGAACAAGATGTTATAAAGACTACATCCACACAGATGATGCTGTATGTGTTGAAACTCTTTAAATTTATCCTGACTTGTTTCTGAAAAAGGCTTTTATATTTTAAAAATTAATTGCATGTTGGTAACCTAAGTAGTAAATACATGAAAATAAATCTAAATTAATGCATTAACTATGTTATGTGCAATAAAGTAGAATGGAACAGTGCTAAGTTACTGATCAAAAATGTATTAAAATGTCCCTGATAAGTGGTGGAAACTCTCCTCTTTTGGACTTTAAATGAGGTTCAATTCTTATTCCTATAAGAAGATATGAATCACATGTATTGCTTGGCTTCAATTTTGACTCAGTCTTACACAAACTCTTTAAGTTGGAGGAAGTAAAACTGGACTCCAGTTTAACTCCAGTCCAGTTTTAATTGGACTGGAGACCAATTAAAACTGGACTCTATTAAAACAGGTTGAATTAAAACCAATGTTATCAATATTATGTGACACTTAGAGTCACATAACATTAATTCTGCACATTGAATTTTTGTTTTCATGAATGCATAGGCTTGTCAGTCAGTTTTTGGGACAGGAAACAACCCAACACGGAAGTGCAAAGTACGAGGGAAGAAAAGACCTCAAGTCACTAAGTTTCTACAGCTCACGATGGCGACTCGTGTGTTTTTGTTTCTCTGTCTGCTTGGTCAAATACTGGCTAAAGAACCTCCTGGTAAGAGCTTTTAAATTATTACTTTACCTATCAAATTATTGACATATGTTTGTATTAATAATTACTTTTATAATGACGTTTGAATGTTTGAACTTTAACGCCAGCTAATTTCCTGGAAGACTTTTGGCAGATCAAATCAAAATTTGTTAAACAATTGTCTTCCTTTCCATTTCTTTTTGTAACTATTCTTGCTGATCTATCATGTATGAAACACTACATATAGATTTTGGTATTAATTAGTTTGATGTTTTACAATTTTAATCAAAAACTACAGTAAATGTTTTTAAAAGTGAAAACGGTACTTGATTGAAAAAAAATTTAAAAAGAGCAGTTATATACTTTTTCTATAAAGAGAAATAGTTTTTGAATTTTGATTTAACTGAGTTTTTCAGATTGTTGCTTCAAAGGGGAAAAAAAATCCCCTTTGACGTCAGTTCTTGGTGAAGCCCAAGTGTTTTTGTGTTTGTTCATTTCCGTACCGCAGTCAAAATGGCACCTAAATGTCAAATGATTCAAAGCTGGATCTCTCTCTTTACTTCAATTTTTACATAAGCCAAGATTGACATTTATTTAAATTCTTAATAAAATTGAAAAGGACACAACTGGCAAGTAATGGATGGATGTATTTATGTAATTGCAGTTATTTATCTATTCACACCTTATCATTTAAGTTATGGTTATAGCACTAAAATATTCAATAAATTATAATTAAAAAAAACTAAACGAGGCTATAAAGTATATGGTGTACTAAAATAAGCATAGAAGACAGAAAGGGTTTAAAAAACTGGTAAATAAGTAATAGTCCCTGCAAAACAAAGAATTATTATTGCAGTTTGGTGTAGTTATTGTAACCTTTGATCGCCTGCTTGAAGACAAGATGTCAAAACCCAATTTTTGCTTTGCGGTAAAATAACCTTGTCATTCTTTCTTTCCAAACTGAGACCTTCTATATTTTCTTCTACAGAGCCAACAGCACATTTTCTGTCAATGTAATGCAGCATCATTTAGCATGTTTGTCATGAACAGAAACCTGAATTTCCAATGAATCGTCAGCCTGGCGTGTTTTAAAACCATTTTTAGTTAATGCTCTGCTGACGTGTTCTGTTAGAAGTCGCTTAATAATTTTCCCTCTTGTAGATTAATGATAATGTGAATGCATACAGCTTTCAAACTTTTGAGATGTCCCAATTCTCTTGGTTGCTTCTGTACACTTGTTGACCCTTTATTACTTCTTGTGTTATTTCAACCATTCAACTTTTACATGACTCAACTATTGTATATATCATTCTATTTTTAATTATTATGCTTTAAAAAATATTTAGCTTTTAAATACTTTTGCCTCCATTAAAATGAATAGAAAATCTCAAACTGAAAAAGTTACACCAAAACTTAGGTTTTCTCTTCATCTAACTTTACATCCGTCTCCTCAGCTTTTTTTTACCTCTCTTTATCTTTTCAGCTCTCTCTATCTATGAATCTTCCTATTTAATCCTTTCTGCTCACAGTTGAACTTCTTTAAATTATTTTAGTAAAGCTAAACCTCTTTAAAGCCAATAACATCTTATTTTCAACTGTTCATAATAAAATAATGATATTTTCATGGGATTCTAATAATATTCCAGGAATATACATAGTGATGTGTATTTACTTCTGATATATATTTGTAACTGTACATATTTTTGTCCGATTGGATCGTAAAACTTTTCAATCTTTTTTTTTTACAATAGATGTGACGTGTCTAGTGATTAACCTGGAATCTATTCGCTGTATGTGGAACCAGCAGGGGACTCCAGAAGTCAACTACACCTTTTCTAGCAGGTTTGCAACCAGAGGGAATCACTTATTTGACACGTGTTAAAGAATAAAACAAAATATCATTGTTTTGACCTGGTTAAACAAGAATTAGCTGAATGTAGGAGTTCTTTTTCATTTGTATTTAGTCTTCTTTCTTTTTACTCTGACAACCCAAAATAAAATTCTATACAACTATTACCTTTGTAAGTCACCTAATTAGTAAACAGAGTCTGGCCTGCTTTAATTTAAGTATACCATCCCAGTGATCAAATATGGTAATGGCAGTATCACACTTCTTTATAACAGGTCAGAAATTGTGACAAAATGAATAGAGCGAAATGACGAGGAAAACCAGTATATCTATTTCAGGATTTGTGTCATTTAATTTGAATACTACAGAATTAGCTCTTTGTAATCACACACTGCCATATTATGATGAATTATGGAAAGAAACAAAAACAAAGCATAGGCAAAGCAATATAAAACTAGCAAATACTTATGGTATTATGTGTCTTCCAGCCACTCAGTGTCATTTTAAAGCCTGTTATTTTACTATTCACAAAGAAAATAAATTTTATTTTGGTTGTATTTTGGTTGAGTTAGAGAACATTTCTTCACAGGGCCCAAAATCAGGAAGAAACTATCTGTGGTGAATACCTGTCTGAGAATGGAACAAATATAGGATGTATGCTTCCCTACACCGAACTGCAGAGATTCAACCCATTTCACACTAAACTGTCTGACGGCAACAGGGCCTATGAACAGACTCATGATCTTAAAGGAAAAGGTAATTTCATCTAAAACATAGATAAAAAAGGTTCCAGTTTTTGTTAAATGAAATATATTTATTCTATGAAATTTCTTTAATTCCACATCTATGTTATCCAAAGTGAAATTAAACCCACCAACCAACCTGACAGTCAAGAATGGATCCGACCTGAACCTGTGGTTTTACTGGAACCTGACTGTACCTGGACTACAACAGCAAACAACTTGTGTGGAGAGTCAAGTACGAATTAGGAAAAACAACAACGACTGGGAGGTAGGTGTTTTTTTTTTTTTTTTTTTTTTTTTCCTTTTTGTTACCCATATTTTCATATATCAAAATTTTCTGATTAACTGTTTGTATCATAGATTTCATCAGTTTATCGTGGCCACCAGAGTTATTGCCATAACTTACCCTCCAGCACAGCTAGATATGAGCTGCAGGTCCAGATCAGATTTGACAATAGCTGTGGGCAGTCGAAGTTCTGGAGCGACTGGAGCGAGCCTGTGGTCTGGGGATTCAATAACAGCACAAGTAAGGATACGTGGTGTATACTGAATTCATGCAGAAAGAAATTGTGTTAACAGGATGTAATTTTTATCCTTTTTCCCAGTCTCAAATGTTAAAAAGGACAAAATGGGAGACTGGACAGCAGTGGTGTCTGTGGTGAGTGGCATCACCCTCATTCTTCTGCTTGTGGTCCTTCTGCAAAATGAACGGTGAGTCATATCATGAGTTATAATTTTTGTTTTTCTTGCTCACTTTTTTTTCTTTATGTCAGATGTCTTTTGTTTTATATTTCTCATAATTTTTCTTTCCTGGACATGACTCTTTATTTTATATCACAACCATAGTAAAAACTTCAATTTCCTATTTTCTACATTACAAAACTCTTTCCAGGTTGGGTAAAAGGTAGATTGACTACGCATCTGATACATCCATCTACACATAACTGAAGCCCAATGTTTACAGACACTATTGCTAAACATTTTTTTCCTGACTTTCAAACTTTAAATAAGTGAAAACTATTTAAAACTTTTAATGTTTTAGGTCAATAACACTGAGCAGAATTATTCTTAAATATTAAAATAATTCTTTCATAATTTGCTAATTTTGTATCACTTTATAAAATTAGCTTGTGACGACACACCATTGATCTTAAATTGTATTTCCAAAAAAGCAGTTGTTTTCTTTTCTTTTGTTTTGAATTTATGAAATATAATCTTTTTGAAGTTACAAAGTTTCACTTGCTTTGTTTTTTTTATTGTACCTTCCGCTTTCACTTTTTCAACTTGACACCTTTGACCACAGACTCTTTTTGGAAATCTAAAGATAAATTGGAGCAGGTGATTTTTGTTAAAGTGCACCATTTTACTATTATAAAATTAAGTTAAGTTAAGTGAATGCTACTTCTTCACTATAAAATGCTTGTCAAATGGAGAAAAACATTCTGATTCTTATTTATTTCAAAGTATATTTGACATATTCTCTCTGTTGAAATAACAAAACTTAAGTCCTTTTTAAGAAACCAACTTCTGTCAATAAGAATGTGATGTATGTCGATTTGGTTATTTAAAAAACATTTTGACTGTCTGCAACTTTTACACAGGATCAAAATCATCCTGATTCCTCCTCCAATTCCCAAACCAGCTCTGAACTCTCCTGATGTCGAGGTTAGTAGCAGCTAGAGCCTTATTTCTGCCATCTTACTGTTTTCTATCTTTATATATCTGAAACATGTGTTGCATTGGTCTAAACCTGAAGGGGAAATTTTCATTTTTGCAACATCACAGAATGCAAGTCCCGCCATCTTTCTGAATTATGCTGGTATGATGCAGACCTATTTTGAATAATTTATAAGTATTAGAATTAAGGAAGCAAAATGCCCAGTGTTCAACTGGGCTGTGATGTCACCATCCTGTTTTGTTTGGGTTGTTTTCTTGCTTTTTTATATTTAAAGACCAACTGACCAGCTGGAGAGGAAAACTTAAACCTCTTTGACTGCCCCATAGTGGTAAAAAAATATATCAGTTAAATTAGAAAATGGCTCAGACTGTCCATGGTTAGAGCTGCTTAAAAAATTTGAAGTGCTGATGTCACTGAGTCACTGAACATGTGATTAATGATTGTTGCAACATTTGATAGACATTTGTGTTGATTCTACAGCAGTGCATATCTTCAATGGAGTCTCAGATTATTTAGAAGTTTAATTGGACAGTGTTACATGTAAAGTTTTAGCTCGCTTAAATGATCATAGTTTGTTGACTGGATGATACAAATGTTTGTGGCATATTTACCTGAGTAAAGATCATTATACAGGCTTCCCTCTTCATTTTTTACAGCCTATCTTAAATTTGAATGATGAAAATGAATTTCTTATTCAGACAGAATAATAACTGCTTTCAATAAACCAGGACTCATATAAAGTCCGTGACTTAGGTACATAATCATCTAAAAATATGATTTTGCTCTTTAACTTATTAAACGTTCAGATGCTACATTCAGTCAACTCTGTGAATCAGACTTACTTTGCAACACAGCTGTTCAGTTCCAGAGGTCCAAACTCAGACTTGGGACGATGTGAAACTAACAGCAAACTTCAGAAAGTTGTTTCTGTTTATATCAGACACTCCAAACACATGAGGCTGTGTTGGTTATGCTCGATTTACATCTGCAGCAGGTATGCTGTTTCCAAACGTTAGCGGTCAGACTTGGCATGCCAAATTGATAGAAGTTACCAAAGAGGTTTTCCAGGTTATTAGTTCTGCATCTCTAAGCTTAAGTAGGGGGAGAATTATTTTAAAAATTAGTAAGATAAACATGCATGACTACACTACTCCTATTTTCTCTTAAGGACAACTAATGCGGTTGTGATTTTCAGCGATTCTCTTTTTGCTTTACATTAACTTCATTGCTTTGTACTACTTCAATGTCTTTGTAACAGTCTGGCAAATCTGATATTCAGTAGGTCCAGAGGAAAGTTTACCCATAAAGTGATTTGCCAAAATAAAGTATATTTATTTATGTAGAAAACTTTCCTCTCAAAAGTTGAAGCAGCCATGTCTTCTGTTTTCAGCTACAGATACATCACATTTTGGACAAAACCTTTCAGTTTGAAAAGTGGCATTTTCCAGGTTTAAATGTTTATAGCTTATGTTTTGGAGATATTGTTTTTATTAAAATACAAACTGAATGCATGTCTATAAAACTGTACTGTTGAACCAGTGGTGAAAATGGATATGATGTTTGATGCATTTGATGGATATGATGTTTGATGCATTTGCTTTGCAAAAATAAATGGTGATCCAAGAAATTTTAACAATTTTTCTCTTCCTTTAGGATTGGTTTCATTTCTCTAAAGGCCTTATTAAAGAAAGGTTTAACACCAACTTCAACGAGCGAGCCTGCACCGTGCGTGAGTACCAGCCGGTCTCCCGGTCCGACAGCAACGGCTCCGACAGCTCTCGCACCACCACCACCACGGATCAAACCGACTGCTCTATCTCCATCGCAGTGAATGAACCAGAGGACACGTCTGCTCCTTTTTACACCACCCCAATTGCTTCGGAAGAGGAGCAGCAGGTTTCTGTGTAAATGTCACCACAGGCAAATTTATATGTCTCAAAGTAAAAAGAAATTCTTCTTTTTATTTGTCGACAGAGCTCCAGAATTACAGGAGTAATATGTGTAGGAAGTCTTTTAGAAAAATGGATGGAAATAAGAACATTGAAAATAATTAGAAATCAATAAATCAAATAGGGATCAAGATTCTAAACTCCATAGTCAGTATTTTAGGGATTTGTTATTCGCCTTCAGTTATATTAAGTTTTGTTTTTATTGTCAAGTTTTTTAATACTTTTTATATTACATAGATAAAGTTAGCCAGACCTCAATGTCAAGAGTGTTTATTTACTTATTGCTTAATTTTCTGTCTTATATGCATTTTTTTCATGCAGGCTATATTAAGGATCTGAATTTTAATCATTTTCTGTTTTGAAACAATAACAATTATTAAAATTGATCTGTATTCAGGACTGCAGTAGCTTTGTATAAACATGTTATGCATATAAGTACTTCTATATATTCTTACCAAGTCACCTCTATTGATCTATGGAATATTGTGAAATATTCTCTATTTAGCGGATTTTCAAACCATGTAATTTTTTAGGAGTGCTTAGCTGACCTGTACATTTTAAAGGTTTTATAGCAACAGATAAACATGTCTGTAACTGATTATTCAGCAGTATTGTTTTGCATAAGAAAATGTTTGTAGCTGTTAGAAACTGGCAGGCTTGCAGCCCTCATACTCTCATAACATGCGCTGTCATTGTTATTCAGTTGACACTGTATCGCTATTACCAGATTTTATCCCTGTTTCTGTTTGAATGTCATATTAATGTAATCTTTTGGCTTCTGTCTTGGTTTGTATGTTTAACATCAAAATTAAAGTTTGTTTTTTGATTATGATTCTTCATTATTTTTTATTCCCCTTCTACTTATTGGAAGAAAACAATAACAACAACAATAACACCACGTTCAGTCCATATTAATGATTGTAGCAGAAAGGCAAACCTAAAAATAAAGCAAACTCTACCACTGAGCTGTGTCAATCAAGACATATTCAGGTCCAAGTACAGATCTAAATCTATTTGAGAATCTTTAGCAATGCTAAAACGAAAACAGGTTTTGCAACAATACATCAAAATCTTTTGGAAAGATTTTGATATAATTATTTGCTTTTACTCTTCGTTACCTGCTTCTTGTCTAAATCTTTGGTAATGACAAAGTTTTTTACAGTCAGGACTTATTGGCACTATATTCTAACAGAATAGCTTTCTAACCATATAGATTTTAAATGTTTTCTTGGCTTTCTATGCTTTTTTGCACCTCTTTTTCTTAATGTGATTAATACTTATTCCCTGTTACTTTCTTTGATTTCTTCACATGTATATTAGGTAATCATTTTTGAAAAGGTTTTACTAAGAGATTTGTTAATTTCTAATTTCACAAGTTGGACAATTGTCCACATCAATCCAAAGTACAGATAACCGAACACCCAATCCCAACCTGTATTAGTCACAGCATTGTTCTCAACTTGATGTATAATTCAACACGTAAAACATACAAAATAAAATGTACATAGAAATGTCTACAGTAGATCAATTATATTGTCTTTCATTTGAAACAAAGTGTCAGAAAGGTCAGTGCTGTTGTACACAAGTCAGCATTTACTGACCCTTTGCTTTTGGAGACATCCTGTCCATTCTTCCTCTTTCTGAAAGTGCTGAATCTTCATCTTTAATTTAATTAAATAAAAAGCTGTTTAAGTAAATTCATCATTTGGAATCAGATCTACTGGAGCAACAATGTATCTTAAAATATAAAAGAGAGTTTCACTGATGTTTTAAGAAACTTAAATCTTAATATTCACTCTGACAAAACAATAGAAATCTATAACCTTAACCTTTTCATTTTAATAACCATACAAGACACTGAGTTCTTTATTTTAAGCAATTTAAATTGTATTTGTTGTTCATATGTCGTTCGATAAGTTGAACAATTTCTATTTTTGTTGTTCTAATACTTTTAGTCTATTCCCAACAACAAAAATTAGAACTTTCTTCTAAAGTAAAAGTTTAATAAATGGGTGTGGCAAGTCTGTTTCTGAGTAGAAAGTTGCTGGATGTTTGTAGTCCAACTTTTTATGATATCAAGATGGTAACTAAACCACATGGCTAATAAACACTTTGTGTTGCACAAAACATTTTCCATTTGAAAAGATATTCATCAGTAAAAATCTAATTCAGAAAAGTAAGTGCCCCTGATCTGCAATTGGTGCCCCACAAAATTTGTAAAGCAACTCTTAGGAGCCAACAGTCATATAATAATGTTTTCTGTGTGCATCTTAAAATTGTGATTGGGGCCACATAAAACTGTTCAGAGAGCTGCAAATGGCTGGTTTCTTTTGCACAAGTTCATAAAAGTAAACATTAAAGTGTCCAGATTTTGAGACTCCAATTTGCAGTTGTAAGTGCGGCTAAGGATGGTTCTACAAAATGTTCACTCACAAAAGCTGAAAACTCAATCCAATTTAAACTTTACTGGCAGACTTTACTTCCACAGTTAAAAACAATACATAAACTACAATAAAAACACTCCTCACTACCGGATTGTGGCATAAGTATTTTTGTGAGACGCTGCATTACTTCAGTGTGTCCTGTCCAGTCACCTCGGTGTCCGTTAGGGGGAGCAGGGTTTCAGCTCAGTACGGAACCGAATCAACGCATTTTCCAGATTCAAGAAGGGCAGGGCGGCTGGCCCCCGCAAGAGGAGAGCTGCTTCTCAGATTGCTTGTTGTGCTATCAGATGAGATTTCAGATTGAACTGTGTGGTTAGTTGTTTTTTTTTACCCAACACACAGACAAAATAGTTTGCATCCTAAAAGCACAGGAGGGAAAATGACAGATCCTGTTGTAGCAGACACTCGCCGGTTGAATTCCAAACCCCAGGACCTGACGGATGCTTACGGCCCCCCGAGCAATTTTCTGGAAATAGACGTTTATGATCCACAGATCGTGGGAGTCGGGCGGAACCGTTACACAACTTACGAAGTTCGGATGAGGGTAAGTGTCGAAGCACCGGTCTAAACACTTAAGAGTTAAATAGCTTCCTGTGCTAAGCTAACAGGTTATCACAGAATTGTTGCTTAGCCTGTTAGCATGGAAGAAGAAGGAGGTGTCAAGCTGAGGATGGCCGCCTGGGGTTTCTTGAGGCGGCGCGCCGTTAAAACTCAGATGCCGGGGATCAACCGCGGCCTGGTCGAGCTGATAGTTTTCGTCCCAGAGCTGTAGATGTTGTTAGCCTGAACCTCAATGTCGCCCTTCTTGAGTACGGCTGATGTTAGCGTATCTTATACTACAGCAACGACTTTCAGTTATTTAATTACATTTGGTAAAATGTAGCTACTTAATCCGGAATTTATGAAGTATAAAGTAAACACTGGAAAGCTAATGGCTAACCAGAATGAATTGTGGCAGTGTCAACAAATGTGCTAATTAAGCATTTCCTGCCTTTTACAAGCAGAAATGCATATAACCCTATAATGTTTGCAAACAAACGATGATGTATTTCGGATAATCCTGTAATTGCATAAAGTATCGAGATGCGTTTGCCTGTTGCTGTTTAAAAAAACTGCAGCTTCACCATACTTCCTTTGGCAGTTAGGGTTGTAAAAGTGTGAAGAAAAAAGAAAACCACGAACTCAGCGTAATTTTGAGGAAGCTGAGGTTGACCATTGTACCGACACAGGATTTGTTTAAGTTGGTGTCCTGCAACTTGTTTTTAGGCACTAAGTTTGTTGCCTATGTACAGTTAGGTGTTAGCATCACGTTTGAGAGTTGTAGAACTAATGAGAAATCATGAAAACAATTATGTGTGTAACTTTAAAAATATATATTTTAAAAACTGAAATTCTGGTTTATTTATGCAATCATGTTTACTCTGAAATGTCTGTAAATGCATTGCTCAAAATCATAAATGGTACAATTTAAAAAACAAAAACGGTCTCACTAAACCTGCAGATTTACCACTAAATCTACTGGTTTACCACTAAATATGCGGGTTTAGTGGTAAGAACTAGTTCCAGGTAATTGAAATGAAAGTTTCTTTAATCAGCCAAAAAGTTTTTTACAGTAGTGAACATCACCAGTTACATCTGTTTGGGTAACAAATCACCATAAAAACATTAAAAGAGAATGTTGTGTTTTGAAACATACAGATATTGAGCTAACATTCATCATCAAAAAATAAGAAAAAAAATGTAACTAATAGATCATACTTAACTAGGTGTGTCACTAAAAGAACAGGGAAAAGACATTGATTGTAATTAAATTTCAGATGTGTTTAAATTATAATTTGAAATTTCAAAACAACAACCAGTAGGAGCAAATTAAAAGCTGATTTAGGATAAAGATCTCTTTATAAATTTCAATCTTTTTTTTTTTTAATCTGTGAACTTTTTGCTAAGATTAAGTATAATAAAAATATTAACACTGGTCACATTGGTTTTTGTGACCAGTGTTAAAGGACGGTTTATTTGCTACAGTAAATAAAATGAATACATGAAACACTGCTAAAATTATATCAGAAATTATGTTAATGAAGGTGGTGTCACTATTTTTTCTGTTCTCTACCCAGACAAACCTTCCTATTTTCAAATTGAAGGACTCGTGTGTGAGGAGAAGATACAGTGACTTTGAGTGGTTAAAGAATGAGTTGGAAAGAGACAGTAAGGTGAGTATGCCGTTATTTAGTCATTAAATAGGCATTTTCAGGCGCGCTGGACATTTTACAATCTTTTTTTTGTTTTAGTTTTGAAGATTTGATTCTTTTCTGACTTGATTTTTGGTGTACAAATAGAAGCTGTGCGAAACAGGATATTTTCTTCTAAAGAAGCACAAAGTTCATGCCTGCCTGGAAGACATTTTTACCCAATTTGATAAAATGTCTTAATAATAATTATAATGGAGGAACTGGGTTCCTGTCTAAGAAAGAAATTCAAATAATTTCCTGAAAAAAGAAGGACTAAAAAGTACTTCTTTTTATAATCTAATTATAGTTTATTGTAGGGCAGGGGTATCAAACTCATTTTATGTCAAGATTATGAATGTCCTCAAAGGGGTTGTGGCAGAATTTATTGATGAAACATGACAAAACGTAAAAGAAAAAAATCTAGGTATTGTGGGTTTTTTTTAAAGGAGATACAAGAGTGGAGGGTGAAATTATCTTGTAGCTTTGGGTAAAATAACAGGGTTATTTGAAAAATCTTACCAGGGCGATAATACTGGTTTATATTGGGATGTTAATTTTGATGTCTGTTACCATCGGTCCAATTTTTCTACCTTCATCTGTGCTTTCAACTCTGTGAGCAGAAATCTGCTCACACACATGAACTCTTTCTGCTGTGAGAAACATTTAATTTAGCTTTTATCTCCTTACTTTACTGTTCAATAATTATTGCATCCATTTGACATAAATGCTGCCTCATGCTTTCTGATTTTTGTTGGCAATGAGTCCTGTGGTGTAAAATTGTCTGACTATTAGGACATTTTAAATCTGATGTTGAACATTTTACAAGACAAAATGCTCCACCACAATCCCCTCTTTTAATAAGAAGATATATAATAATTTTATGTTATTCAAATCAGATTTTATTTAATCTACATGGTTTAGGCTTTTTGCAAGTGCCTTTGGTCTTTTTCTTGTCAGAAACGTTTCAATTTCTTGCTTAAGGAGCAAAGCAACTTGATCAATTTGACAATTTTTCCTTTTAACACAATTTATGTTTGTTTTTTTCTTGTTTTCATATTCAGATTGTAGTACCGCCTTTGCCGGGCAAAGCCCTGAAGAGACAGTTGCCATTCCGTGGAGATGAGGGCCTTTTTGAGGAGGCCTTCATCGAGGAGCGG